TCATGGCTGCCATTGGGGTGTCGTGGCTGCGGTTGGGGTGTCATGGCCGCCATTGGCAAATCATGGCCGCCATTGGGGTGTCATGGCTGCCATTGGGGTGTCATGGCCGCCATTGGGGTGTCATGGCTGCCATTGGGGTGTCATGGCCACAATTGGGGTGTCATGGCCGCCATTGGCAAATCATGGCCGCCAACATCATCATGGCCACCATGTTGATGTCATGGCTACCAATGAGGTCTCATGTCCACCATATTGGTGTCATGTCCGCCATATTGGTGTCATGTCCGCCATATTGGTGTCATGTCCGCCATATTGGTGTCATGTCCGCCATATTGGTGTCATGTCCGCCATATTGGTGCCATGTCGGCCGGCCATGTTGACGTCACAGCCGCCATATTGGCGCCATGTCACCCCTATCCCTGCCACGTCCGCCATATTGGTGCCACAGGCGCTACATCCGCCATTTTGGCGCCGTGTCCGCCCCGCCAACGCCCCGGCCGCCATTTTGGCAGCCCCCCCACGCCACCCCTCACCTGCGGGCGGGGCGGTGGCGGCGGCGCTGAGGAACCCGCAGTGCTCGGACCCTCCCGGCGTGAAGAACCGGCTCCGCAGCCGCTTGGCCGACGCCTCCCTCTCCGCGTCCTCGCACCGCTCGAAGGCCTCGATCTCCGACCACAACGCCCCGGCCGCGGCGAATTCCGGCGCCCCTTCCAGAAACCTCCGGAAGAGCAGCTTCCCGACGGGCTGATCCACGCACTGCCACCGGAACGACGTGTCCTGGCCGCCATCTTGGGTGTGGCCGGGCGGGGCGCCGTTGGGGGCTCCGGGACCCCCGTTTTGGGCGCCGGCGCCGCCCAGTTGGGCGCGCAGGGCCTCGCACTGGGAGATGTGGGGCAGGCGGAGCCGCGCCTTGGAGCGCCGGTCCTTGCCGCCCCCGCCGGGGCCGCCGCGCGCCGACACGTAGGCCGAGTTGGCCACCACCGTCTCCAGACCCCCGATGT